TATATTTTTTTTTATGATTGATTTAGTGTCTGTTTAAGTATATCTAAATGTTTTAAAATGAATGTTGAGCACAGTAATAATTGGGCACAGATATGCCTGTTGTATTAATTTTTAAGTGTTTTTATTTTCCTCACTTTCTGTATCTGATGTCTGTACATTGTGCCAAAAAAAAAAATAAAAAAAAATAAACATACAAAACCAAAAAATACAGTCGAAATACGAACCTCCTCCCTAAGAATTTCCCCTATGCTTGTAACACTGCATCGACACTATTGGCAAGTAGACAAATGATTTGGTGATTTGTCAAGCCTTCCATTCAAAATTGTCTAAAATAAACCTTCAAACAAAAATTCTCGTAAAACATCTACCATTAATAACACATTCACGAGCAAATAAAGCGTTTAACGATCTGAATTAGAATTAGATGTTGGCGAAGAAACTTTAGAGGTCAATAGCATATTAATTCTCATCTGCTTGTACGTCCCTCACCTTGTGTACATAGGCGCTGTAAATAGAGGCAGCGAGTGCTGCGAACTCGGTTGATGACCTCTGGACTTGGCCATGACTGTCCATGACGTGATGACGCCGGTCAAATGCCTGACGAGTGATATCCTTATGTAGTCAGCATTTGCATCTGTTTTAAGCGTTTGTCGCGTTTGTTAAGAGGAATTAACCACAACGCCTGAGAAAGATTTTTGACAGGTGGTAAAAAAAGTCTTATATCCGCCATATTGGATTCATTATGGTCACACTTTTTACATAATTTAATATATTTTTTTACATTACATTAAATTTATAGTTATTAATTGTTTATTATCTTTTTAAGCTAAAAGTTTCTGGTCAAAGCTCAATAAATAAAAAAAAAATGTCTTTATCTCAGTTATGTATAAAAAATCATGGCTTATTGTACAGAATGATATTAGTTAGTAATTATAGTATTTATTGTGTACCTTTTAACGTGTTTATTAATTTTCCATCGTTATCCTTGTGTCCGTAACTCGTTTTAGAAATATTTCCTATTATACTTACAGTTTGGTTTCAAAATTAAAAAACAGTGTCGTTACCTCATAAACTATTAGGAGTCAAAAAATTTAAAAAGTATTACCATATATTTTTTCAATTTCTTTTATTGCTGTGTTCAAGAGTAGACTATTTTTTTCCCATCCTATAGGAGTACAGGTTATATATGACTTTTTTTTCTTAATCCTTGGCAGTATGGCACATGAGTAAAGTAACTATGGCGTTTAACCGCTTTTGACTTTCGCATAGTTGTGAAAAAGTTTCAACATATTAGGTACTTGCAGTACGCAGTCATTTTTACAGCAGTACTATACACATAACGATATCAAAGTGTCAAAATTAGTAAATTGCGCCTTATGCCATTGGCATAGAGTTTCAATTTGCAGTTGAAAAAGACATTGCGTAACTTGTAGCTGAGTGTACCGAAATTGTTTTTGGTACGTGCGTAAAATATCAAGGTGAAGACCGTGACCGCTAAAGTAGTCAACACATTTGATACGTAGTTCAGAACGTAATTAACGACGTGATTCACTTTTGGGATCTGGAGTATACTAGCACTGATTGACTGAACAACAACATACTTGTGTACAAATAAGATAAATGGGACGAAAAACAATGACACCTCTATTTGAGGTATGCAGGTACGTTGTGTCATGTCGTAGATTACGTAAAGATCTATTAATTATGTGAAAAAACTTAACGATTCATCATTATACGAGTATATGCAAGAGAGGCTGAAAAGAAATCTCTTTCGACTATTTCCAATTTACCAAATTTAAAAATAATGCTGGCCACTACGTGCCTACCTACCTTTTTTTTCAAAATTTACGACATTATTTTGTTTGTTACAAAATAGCGGAAAGAAAAAAGAACTTATTTAAAAATTTACACATTTTCAAATATTTATTACTACAATTAATACTTTTTTAAGAGACTAATGTCTCTTTGTAATATTCCCTTTCTAATATCATCATCATCCTATTTAAGGACCAGGCTCTTGTCGGTGTAGTCTCCTCTGCTCCTTGCGGTTCATAGCTAGCTCCTTGACATTTTTATAGCTGCTCACTTTGATCTTCGTCTTCATTTGTTCACTATACACCATCATTGATCTTTCTTTACCTTCCTATCTTCCCCTCAATTATCAGTCTCGCGAATTCGTTATTACGTAACATATGTCCAAGCATTTTCCCCCTTTTGTTTTTCAATGGTAGAATGCTCGCAATTAATACTACGCCAAATAAATTTTTTGACCTGTTCTTTTTTATTTTGTTTTTATTTCTTTTTTTCACAAAATTTCGTTTTTTTTTTCGAATATTGTTTTTTGTTTTTTTTTCACAAAATTCTGGAAATATAATATTAATAAATAAATAATAGTCGTTTACAAAAATAACAGAAAATGACCAAACAATAAAATTAGCTCCAATGATCACTATGTTCACTAGAGGTATCGAAATACGTACATTTACGCTCCAAGGACCAAAATGTATGGGCCAACCAATATGTATGGACGACGATTCGGCTCGAAGGACCAAAATGTATGGGCCACGATCAGGTTCGAAGGACCAAAACGTATGGGCTACGATCCGGCTGGAAGGACCAATTGTTTGGGTCTCTGAACGTCTAAGATTGAAATAGTAGTTAAGTAGGATGCTGAGTTGACGTAAGCCACAATTTCCTTAATAGGTTGAAGTATCAAGTAAAAAGTGTACAGTATAATCTGAATGCGTATTTGTGGCCGATCGCTGAAGCCAGTTGTCATCTGTCGTTTTTTTAACCGACTTCAAAAAAGGAGGAGGTTCTCAATTCGACTGTATGTTTTTTTTGTTTGTATGTTACGCGATAACTCCGGTATTTGTGAACCGATTTTATGAGCATATACACGTGCAATATTGTACGGTGCTCAAACCGTACAGTCTGCAGCTATTGTTAGCATATTGCTAAAAATTGATAAATATACGTAAATTAGAAATTAAAGTTTGCATAATTACCGGATATATATTATTAAGTATAATATATACATGAAGTACAGTCGGAATCTTTTATTTGAGTCTGTGTTAAGATATATTTTTGCGTGTTTTATTGACATACAAAGGTATTTGGTGCGGCGTCGGCAAACAACATAATTGATGCTCTGCTGGACGCCGTTATACTTAACTGCCTCATACAAATATCATAACATAATATAGCTACGTATTCAATTACACGGAACCACTTAGCCTTCCTAAAATGTGCTATAGTAACTATTAAATCATTTTCTCGTTATTTGTTTAAGTGCAGTATTATATATATGTGATGTATAGCTTATAATTGTTCGCTGCCGTCCGCCCGCTCCACCATTACGACGCCAGGTATCGATGCGAACGGACGAGTCGCATGCGCACGTTAACTTATCAAACATTATTTTACTGTGCCGTCTCTGTTCAGCGCTCTAATTGATTATCTGGTCTAAATAACTTTCTAGGTTTTCTCCAGCTGCCGCTTACTTATTCTACTAGCTATGTCGATGACCTTTTGTAAAAAGACGAACTTGGTTCTCTGTCGAATAAACTCATTTCGAATCTTCTCCTTCAGAGAAACAAGATATAATGTCAGATTGAAGGAATTTGTGTTCGATCTTTGTATAAATTATAACAAACCAGTGGAGTAATTCACAAAAAATAAATTAATGTCATGGTAGTAGGAAGATTAAATAAAATCAATATTACGATGAGGTAATTTTTTTCTTGGATCGAAAAGACGTATATTTCTTTCTTAAAACTAACCAACCAAGCAGGCCCTTTCCAGGTCTCATGGTCACGGCTCCCTCGGTGTACAAAAAAAAAATTCTAATTTCAAAATGACTATTTCGGTTTAGGTCATTATTATTTAAAACAGCGTTTTTTATAATTACACAGGGTATATCTTTACGTGATTTGGCTTAAACAACGTTAATAAAATAGAAATTGTTAGCGCAGCCATAAAAAAAACGAATAAATATTTATATATCGATAAACCACTATGTTATATATCAATTTTGAAAGTATGCGGTGTGTAATCTAAGGAATTAGATATGCGTTCATTCCTTTCGTTTTGCTGGCGTTATCGCGAGTTTCTGTTAAAAATATTTTCTTAGTTATTATGCAGCCTTACGAACTAGACATAAGCCTGCCATTGAGCACGCCAACTCTCCCGGTCTTGTGCCGCCTGCATCGTCGCTTTTCTCAGGTCGTCCAGTCATCTTGCCGCACGTCGTCCTCGACTACGTTTTCCTTGACGTGGTCGCCATTCCAGAAAGAGTCTGCTCTATCGGCGATCAATCTTGAAGACCTGAAGATGTGGCTATGCTTCCCAGCCAGCCTTACAAAGTAGAATTGATTAAATGCAATATGAATAATTAAGGCAGGCAGTACATCGACGCGGCACCGCATTAATGCGATTAGCCGGTCAGAAATATCTTTTTGTCTTTATGTCTATGTAATAAGAGCAATAAATACCAATACTTAGAATACCAAATGTACAAAATTCTGCTATGGACACTCAATAGACACACAACTGAGATGATTTAAAATTGGCAGATATGGGACTTTGTCAAGAACCTGGAACTTTGGTTTGTTTGAATAAACAAATATACGCGATTTAGTAACGAAAAAACAGTTTTAATTTCCAATGTACACTCCCGAACGTGTAATTCGAGCCACCTTATAGTTTTATTCTTAAAGAGAAACTAAAGGGAAACTTCTATAGAATACAAAAATATTGTTATCATCCAAGAAAAAGAGTTCCCCGGTTTTGAAAATTCAAATTTTCAACAAGGACTTATGGAAGTGACGTTTAGTGTTATCAGTTTTTGATCAATCAATGATTGTTCAAGCTTAAGGCGCTTAATACTGGAAATGCAAAGTGTCTCGAATTATATGTCCGGAAGTGTACAATTATGATTAGCAAGTGTAAAAAAATTTAAAGACGAATAAAGAATTCAACATATTCCTTTTTAATTTCAGGAAATGAAAGATGTCCTGGACGAGGACGAGGAGATGACCGACTGGCTGGTCCATCGGGAATCGAAATCCGGGGTAGTTCTCCACGACAGACTTATGACCGACGCCGCGCTAGAATCAGCACCCATCAAGACAGAACACTCCTACAGCCTGCATTCAGATGTCGAATCAGCATCAAATTCACCACATCATACCAAAGTTGATGGTCAGTATAATATAGTACAATAAAAACACCAGTTTCCCTGCACTATGATTACCAGAGTAACGGAAATCACTCCTGGACACTATCCAAAAAACTCAGACCAGATACAATTTTGAATTGAAATGAAAGAATTTATCACACGACTTATAAAGTATTAGTTTTAAAGAACATGGATGGTCATCCAATTGCCGGACTGCCACGCAGAGGTACCAGGTTTGATTCCCGGGCCGGGAGAAATAGTTGTATAGCCTAAACTTATTTCTCACGTGAGTTTGGGTATAATTTGTGATTGTTCATGTGTTTGTCCATGGCACCCACTACACAGGATTTCCCCAGTGCGCTGTGTTGAGTGTGTGCGGTATTATTATCCATTAGATAAGGATTACTCTAAACTGCCTCCGTGGCCAAACGGTTACCATGCCGGACTGCCACGCAGAGGTCCCAGGTTCGATTCCCGGGCCGGGAGAAATGTTTGTATGGCTTACATTTATTTCTCTCGTGAGTTTGGGTGTAATTTGTGGTTGTCTATGTGTGTGTCCATGACACCCGCGACACAGGGTTTCCCTAATGCGGGGCTATGTCGAATGTGTGCGTTATTTATTATTATTATTATTACTCACTCTTACGATTCTCTTACGAACTATAGCTTCATTAGTGCCTCCATGAACATCCCGGGGGCGTAATACTGCATCGAGGCAGCCCAATCTACAAAAGTTAATATCCCAAACTGGTCCGACCATGGGACCACAGTGCAAACCGTTGGGTCACCAACATTATCGTCGGTCATTTTATTAAAGAATGACTGAATTTGGAATCTGCAACGTCGACGTTAGAGATTGTTGACATCAATATTAAAGAAAGTCTTGAAGAGATACAGCATAGCGCGAAAGTTTACACACAACTTTTAATGTCAAAATAAGCAAATAATGAGACGAAAAAATATATACCGACGTCAAAACTTTGCTAAACAATTTAGCTGCGTTATTTTTACAAGACCAAGTGACAGGACGAACAAGTTGTGGGTTTGGTGGTAAGCGACACGCCTGTTTAAAACAGCTGTAGTGCCATTCGGAGCTTTGAACCGTAAAATCCGGGGGGATACTGCCACTGCGGATTGAGACATATGTTGACAAGTCACATGTGCCTGTAATTTCTACTGCTTGGCGGCAGAAGTAGGTAAGGTGTTCGTTGCCGCGGCCTCTTCAACGACAATTAAAACGCATCTGCGTTTGTTTCCATCTTCCATCTGGAAGTAATCGCCACACCCACTCATATGAGCAAACTCTGGGTAGCTGTTGAGGAGAACGTTGTATACTATTGAGGAGTTCCCCTCATGTGGCTGCCATGAGCATCATCAGATCAGCTCTGGGTCACCGTAACATTTTACACTTATGTGTCGAGTTTATTTAAAATTGGTTAACGGAAAGCGAATGAAATGCAAATTTAAATAAGACCAGTAAACTAGGGTACCCCCTTTTCAAAGAATCACCGAAATCAGTTCACAAATATCGAAGTAATCTAAATTAAACACATAAAAATACTATCGAATTGATTCCTCCTTTTTGAAGTCGGTTAATTAACACTCACGGTTCACTTTGTAAAACGGAAGAGAAATGAATAAGATACAATGAAATGGTCACATTTTTTATAATACTTATGACAGGATTTCCTTTTACACTTGCAGTGTTAAGATATTTCGTGTCATTCGTCACAGTATATTTTAGTAAGAGTGAAAGCTTCTTGTTAAAGAGTTCGTCCTAGGAAATACAGCCGCCGCCGCACCCATTTCTGTCGCCAAGCAGTATGCGAGTACCCATCTTTGTGAAACTATTTTTTTACACAAACGATACCACTCTAGCTATCGTTGGTTTGTTTTATGTCAGTTCTACAATGAAAATAATGTCAAAATACGACACGGAAGCTGTCATTTGGCGTTTTGGTATGCGCTTAGAGGACGAAAAAAAAATTCCATACTTTACTTTGGTATCCGCAACTACTTGTGTCAAATCATCGTTACCTCCGGTCCGATACGAAGCTAAACCGATGAATGTTGCTTCATATTTCGTATGACGTGTTGAGAATATGATACCCCGATACACGTCGCGTCAAAATCCTGTCAAAATGTCTTTTCATAGTTGCTATATCAACGTCCAATGTCGGACAGCCATATAAATCACGTGTTTCATTTGGTAATCTTTCCACAATCGGACACAACGCGTTTCATAGTAAGAAATTATTAAAACGAAGGACGTACGCAACTACGTGTATCGGATTTTACTTTTCGGAGTACCTGCCAGGACTTGTCAGCCTTATGTCTCACGGTGACGGGAATCGTGGTAATGTCTCTCAGCTCTTTGTAATTTAAAGCTCTGATTGACTTTGAAACTGTTATGGGTGGTCACTTACTATCAACCAGATAACTTATTCATCCCGTCACTTAAATCACAAAATATATTTGGAAGTAAGTGAAAAGAGATCTCTTAAAGAAACATAGAGTGGTTTCTTGCATAACAAACGTCATGTCTTTCAAATGACTGTAAC